TACCAATTACGCCAACACAGGCCGCATGGATTATGCTTTTTTTCGGCCTCATAACTTGTTAGTTTGTTATATCTAACTTTGAATTATTGTTGTTGTATTAACTTTGTCTTATTCAACAATAAATAAATACCACAACGTGATATTTCGTTTAATAGCTGGAGGTAAGATTCGAACTCGGTACCTCGTTGATACGAAGCCATAACTCTACCAATTACGCCAACACAGGCCGCATGGACTATGCTTTTTTTCGGCCTCATAACTTGTTAGTTTGTTATATCTAAATATTAACTTTGTCTTATTCAACAATAAATAAATACCACAACGTGATATTTCGTTTAATAGCTGGAGGTAAGATTCGAACTCGGTACCTTGTTGATACGAAGCCATAACTCTACCAATTACGCCAACACAGGCCGCATGGATTATGCTTTTTTCGGCCTCATAACTTGTTAGTTTGTTATATCTAAATATTAACTTTATGTTATTCAACAATAAATAAATACCACAACGTGATATTTCGTTTAAGAGCTGGAGGTAAGATTCGAACTCGGTACCTTGTTGACACGAAGCCATAACTCTACCAATTACGCCAACACAGACCGCATGGATTATGCTTTTTTCGGCCTCATAACTTGTTAGTTTGTTATATCTAAATATTAACTTTGTGTTATTCAACAATAAATAAATACCACAACGTGATATTCTGTTTAATAACTGGAGGTAAGATTCGAACTCGGTACGTTGTTGATACGAAGCCATAACTCTACCAATTACGCCAACACAGGCCGCATGGATTATGCTTTTTTCGGCCTCATAACTTGTTAGTTTGTTATATCTAAATATTAACTTTGTGTTATTCAACAATAAATAAATACCACAACGTGATATTCTGTTTAATAGCAGGAGATAAGATTCGAACTCGGTACCTTGTTGATACGAAGCCATAACTCTACCAATTACGCCAACACAGGCCGCATGGATTATGCTTTTTTTCGGCCTCATAACTTGTTAGTTTGTTATTATATCTAAATATTAACTATGTTATTCAACAATAAATAAATACCACATTGTTAATCGTACACTGCTGAATTCCGTTTTTTAGCTGGAGATACGATTCGAACTCGCTACCCTGTTGGTACGAAGCCATTACTCTACCAATTACGCCAAAACAGGCCATACCAATTCAACTTTTTTTGGCCATATCTGTTGGAAAATCTTTTTGGGAAAAAAATTTTTGGTCAAAAAAATTTTGGAAAAAAAAATTTCGGGAAAAAAAATTTTGAAAAAAAAATTTCGGGAAAAAAAATATTTGGTCAAAAAAATTTGGAAAAAAGAATTTTGGTCAAAAAAAAAATTGGAAAAAAAAAAAAAAAAAAAATTTTGGTAAAAAAAAAATGGGGAAAAAAATTTTTGGGGAAAGAAATTTTGGGAAAAAAATTTTTGGTCAAAAAAATTTTGGAGAAAAAAAAATTGGGCAAAAAAATTTTGGTCGATTTTCCGAAGTCCGGATAAACCGAAGTCCTGATAATGCGAAAAAAAGTTGGGAAAAAAAATTGGGACAAAAATTTTTGGTCAAAAAATTTTGGAGAAAAAAAATTTTGCGGAAAAAAGTTTTTAGGAAAAAAAATTTTTGGAAAAAAAATTTTTTGAAAAAATGTTTGGAAAAAAAAATTTTGAGAGAAAAAATTTTTGGGAAAAAAAAAATTTAAAAAAAAAATGTATGCATTTGTGTGGCGCCATCTAGTTATGTTTAATAATAACTAGCAGAATTCACCGATTGGTGAAAAAAATTTTGGTCAAAAAAATTTGGACAAAAAATTTGGTCAAAAAAAATCGGACAAAAAATTTTGAACAAAACAATTTGGACAAAAATATTTTGGAACCGTTAACCTCTAGCATAAAATTTTCAGTAGAATTATTTTGCGTTTTTCGTTGCCTTTTTTGGAAAAAAAAATTTGGGGTGGGTAGAAAATTTTGTGGAAAAAACTTTGAGGGAAAAACAGGGAAAAATATTTTGTTTTGAAAAAAAAATTTAGGGTAGAAAATTTTGTGGAAAAAACTTTGGGGGAAAAAACAGGGAAAATTATTTTTTTTTTTGAAAAAAAATTTTATGGTAGAAAATTTTAGGAAAAAATTTTGGGAAAAAACTTCTTGGGGTAGAAAATTTTGTGAAAAAAAATTGGGAAAAAATTTTTTTTGAAAAAAAATTGGGAAAAAAAAAAAGGGAAGTTTAATACCCGAAATGTATGAAGGACGGTTTGCTTAGGTACATGCATTCTATATTTTAGAGGATGTGCTATTGAAAAATGCATACGAATTAGGGATGCGACATCTGTCGCATATTTAGTAAACTTTCGGAAATAAGGTGCAGTTCGAACAAGTAAATATATTCGTAAATTAATTAATTTAATAACATGTATTTTCATGTGACACCCACATACAATGTGGATTACATTTTGAAATAAACTTAACTAATTAATTAACACAACACACAAAACTGACAGCCCCTGCAAATATTCAAATCTACAATTTTTTTATAAAAATTTATTTATCGCATATCCAAATACTATACACTATACTTTTCACTGTATATATTCAAATCTTATCTTGGAAAAAAATTTTGGGAAAAAAATTTTTTTTGGAAAAAAATTTAGGGTAGAAAATTTTGTGGAAAAAACTTTGGGGGAAAAAAACAGGGGAAATTATTTTTTTTTTTATTAAAAATTTTATGGTAGAAAATTTTAGAAAAAAAATTTTGAGAAAGAAATTTTTTTGTAAAAAATTTTGGGGACAAAAATTTTGAAAAAAAAATTGGGGAAAAACTTTTTGGGGTAGAAGAAAATTTTGGGTAAAAAAATTGGGGAAAAAAATGGAAAAATTTTTTTGGGGAAGCAAAGCTTCGTTTGGCAAGGCATCAAAGTCTGTAAATAAAGAAACAACAATATAAGTCAAATGAATTACATAAATAAATAAATATAAACGCCTGATTTTTATCAACGTACATTCTATTATAAAATGATTGAAGTAAACTCCAAATTCTTTAAAGCGGCAAAGTCTGGAAGGAACTCATTAGGAACAAAGTCTGGAAGAAGTTTTCGTCTCATTTAAAAGCATTTAAAAGTCATTAACTATGAATTTATAATACAGTATATTTATATTTTTTTTTATTTCAATTAATAACAACAGATATTATTAAAAAAATAATCTATTATAAACTACGACTATTAAATTCTAAACAAAGTCTATTAAATTCAAACAAGTCATTTCAAATCAATTTAAGGGGGTATTCTAGTGTAGAAATTCAAAAAAATCGGTTTTTGAATATATGAATTATTTTTGGAGATATAGGCATTTTACTGACTCGGTCTCTATACTGGTTTGGCTTCACACAAAACTTTAACATTTTTTCAGATAGTCTTCTAAGACTAACTATCTATAAGTTTCTCAGAACTTACTTTTTTAATACTCTTGTCACGATTTCTGAAGTTCTACTCGACCAATTTATTTGAAATTTTCAGATAGTCTTCTTTATAGATCTATCTATAGTCTGAGCTAGAATCATCCCGAAATTCCTATTTTTAATATTTTTAAAACATTCGAGAAACTCAAAAAAACAACTTTTTTTTTCAAACAGTCGCCAATTTGTGAAAACATATTTTTTTTTTACTTATTGTTAGTTCAACCAATTGCGACATCATTGTAAATTAATAATCTTTTCATTCTTTACATTTTCGATGGCTAGGAAGGCTGAAATCATGTCAAGACTGACATGCCAATTTTTTGAGACCATACACTTCATCAGTTGCCAGTTTTTACAATTTTAATAAACAAGACGTAAATTCAATTAAACAATTTCTTTATTTCAAATTCAAAGTGTATTAAATTTTAAACAAAATATATATTCATTGTCGATACTTTTTCATTTTTTTATTATTGTTTTCTATCTTAATAATATTAATAAACAAATGGTAAAAAAAAATGGATAGTGAAAACATTGCTTTCTTTTACGACGATTTAAAAATTACCTAAAATTCATCACTCTACACTAAAGTACCCCCTTAAAACAAAGGTTTTTTTACTAAAAAATTTATTTATTAACAA